GTGACAACACACCTCCACAAGTGGAAAATTTCACAGCATGAAATTTTCTTTCATGCACAAAATTATTTAATATGCTGTGCAAAATTACCTTCAGGGTATGTGGATAAGGTATATATGAAACATAAATAAATTTCATGTTTAGACTTGGGTTCCATCCCCCAGATCCCTCACTATGTATATGTGCATGTTCCAACATCTGAAGAAATAAAAAATCTGAAACCCTTTTGGTCCCAAGCATTTTGGATAAAAGATGCCCAGCCTTGAGTATAGAATACAGTCAAGAAATGGGATCCTGACCTGGATTTGGTTGGACCACAGTAACTTTTATTTCAATATTTAGTTATGTTTGCTCATATTTTCACATATATTGTTTCCTCACTTATAGCTCTAAGAGATAAAATATTATTCTTAATTAGTAAATTTCTTCATTAACATGTATTGGGCACATACTTTGGATAAGTTACCATTCTAGAGTGAAATCAGTGTCCTTGTCATGAAGTCCCCAGACCCTGATTGGTGGCAAACTTGAATGGCTGGATAGGTGCTAAAATCAGTTAAGGGAGTCTAGTAGGACAGCAGAGCATTGTGGGGACAAGCACACTAGAAAGTGTGTGGGCTTCTCCAGAAGGGCACCTGATGCTCAGTTTCCGCTCATGTTACCTCCATGTGGACTTGTGGTGGTCAAGTTGTCTGCTTCATGCAAGTTCTTCATTTTTAACATCAAAAAATAAATTTTAAAAATCACATGCTGCCATAGCTAAAGAACATAAATGCCAGTTAGATGCAACACAAAGGCTAGAAAGAGAAATAACTAGATGAGACAGTGAGATTAAGTCCAGGATATCCCTAGCTAGATTTAAGGAGATGCCAGAGACCTTAGACAATTTGGCTGGACAGGCATTGCAGACAGATCTAGTCATCTGCCCAGCCAGTAAGAAATGAAACGTGGAGTTTCTTCTCCCCAGCAACACTCCCATAAACTGCAGCCTCTGAGACCTTGCCCCTTTGCCTGTGGACACACCAGCACAGGTATTTGTGATTTTAGTCAAGGAAGTGCAAGGGGTGTACATTTATAGCACCTGTTGGATTTCTGTCCCTTTTAATGGAGGCCAATTAGGACACATTTGCATTAGTAATCATTCACTCAAATGAGCAGACTGAACAGCTTTATTTGATAAGGAGCCACTTTTGGTGCAGCTGAACAGGATGTTTGCCAGCTCTGTGCTTTAGGTTCATGTCCGTTCTTTAATGCTTGCCTGGTTCTCCAGATACTGCCACCCTGCTTAGTATTGCTGAATGGCAGACAGTGCTGCAGAAATTCTATGCTACTAGCTTAGAGTAAGGCAGGCATTATTAGCCTTTAAGTGCTTAGCCAGGACCAGTGTATCTACACATGTTCTGCAAAAGTAGATGCTAGATGGTTAGTAAATGTTGTCTGGTCTGGATATTTTGGTAGACTGTAAAAACTCCAAAGGACAGACCCATTTTACATACAATCTTTTGTATGATTCATGCCAGCCCCAAATAAATAGAACTCTTAAACATATAGAAGCATTTTTCTATCTTTGGGCCAGATTCTGAATTTAAAAGCAATTTCAACAAATAACCTTTTTATTACCTTATTTTTATTTTAAATATCATTACTTAAACACTGTTATTTTATTAAATTTTCCTTCTTTTATGAGAGCCAAAGAACTTCATCAGGAATTTCATTTTATTCCAGGAAATTCAAGGTCACACTCATAACACCCCACCAGCTAAATTGTTTATTTCTAAAATGCTCGTTGGCCAGGCTACGTTAAAAGCCATTTAGGAGACCACCACCCCAGCTAAGCTGTGAACTGCCTATAAGTACAACCTTTGTGGTATCCTCCTTAACCTAATGCTGTCTTCTTTCAGGCTCCTGATAACTGCTTATCCAAAGTTGGTTGAATAAATAGATAAATAGTTAAATGTATTATTTGTCTTATATCTATCATCAGTTTTTGTTGATGAAATTCTACTGTCCCTAATGGAAGGTGTCAGTAGTATACAATCCTCCTGACTTGAAACCCTTTTTGGAATCACCAGGCATGAATTTAGTTTGATTTTTACCAGTTCTAGTATTTGTGTCTTTTCACCTTCAGTTTTTTCTCCCATCATATGGGGGTAAATATATTCTTGAAAGTATGGTATTAAGGAGAAAAAGTTAGGCTTTTTATAAAGCTTTAGTATAGTATTTAACATCATAAATGCTTTGTTCACACCTTGAATTCTTAGTTTTCCTATGCTTTCTGCAGGCCTATAGTTCTAGAATTCTAAAAGTAGCCTGCCACTTGTTAGTGGCCATCAAATGTCTCTTATTGGTCTCACAGGTTGCAGTCTTCAAGGACTGTCATATATATTGGCTCGTTTGATCCTCAAGAATAATATCACAGCATGAAGGACAATAGTTGCTAACACTTAAATTGCACTGAAAATGTTCCAGAAAGTTAACTCTCTGTTAATTGCTTTATGACTGGTAAACTCATTCACTCCTCATGGAGTCTCAGGAGGGTACTATCACACTGCCCAATGGAGAGGTGAGGAACTGAGACTCCAGGTGAAATAGCTCGTTCAGACTCATGCAGATAATTAGTGATGCTCCCAATAACAACAGCAACACAAACATCAGCAACCATCACTAATTAAGATTTATTCTGGGGCCTGGGGTTGTGGCTCAAATGGTAGAGTGCTCACCTAGCACATGTGAGGCACTGGGTTCCATCCTCACCATATAAAAATAAAATAAAGATATTGTATCCACTAAAACTAAAATATAAATTAAAAAAAAAAAAGATTTATTCTGTTCTAGCCATTGGGTTAGCACTTTTTGTGTATTCTCCCAGTTAATTCTCACTACAACCTTTGAGACAGATTCTATTTTTATCTCTTTATAAACGTGTAGTCTTAGTGGAATCTTGCTAAGAAACACTTCACTATTTGTCTTCTGCATGTACGGATTCAGTCTATTGAGCTCTTTTTCTCTTATTGGTGTAAATGCTTTGGCATTGTAGTTTGAAAACCTCTAACCCAAAATTCAAAGACCTCCCAAATATGAACCTTTTATGAGTGCCAATATGACACCAAAAGTGGAAAATTCCATGCTGAAACTTTCTTTCATGTGCAAAATTATTAAAAATACTGTAAAAAATCACCTTTAGGCTATATGTATAAAGTACACATGAAACAAATGAATTTATTATAGAGACTGGGGCCCCATACCCCAAATATCTCATTGCATATATGCAGATATTCCAAAATCCAAGAAAATCTGAAGTCTGAAACACTTCTGGTCTTAAACATTTCATATAAGGGATAATCAATCCATGTACCCTTTTTTCATATTAATTTTAATCTTACATAAATTAGAAGCATTTAACTTTTAGAAATGACATTTTTCAATATTTAGGACTATTTCCATAAAGGGATAGCCTTAAATATATGTTTCATAGAATGTGATTGTATCTTTTGACCAGCTCCTCCACCCCAACCCTTTGTCTACACAAACAGTAAGGTGCAAGGTTGGATAGTTGCCAAAAGACCTTGAAATATGTCAGGAGAGACAAAGCTACCACCAAGAAGCTGAAAAAGTTTAGTTTCGCTCAAAATGGACCATTCATTCAACTAATGTAAAGTGATTCTCCTTGCCCTGGCAATGTGACCTGCTAAGGCAGCTGAAATGATAGCTCTGGGTTTGGCACTCTGGGGTGGCCTGCAGGCTCAGCCCTCAGTGGCTTTGCCACCAGCAGCTGACAGCAGCCTGCCCAGCATGGATTCCTCTGTTGTTGTTTTTGTTACTGTTTTCCTTGAACTCTTTGGCCCATCATTCTGGTTTTTTGGTTCTCTGCTCTCATTTCTTTCTAAGGAATCAAATGATTGCTGGGGCCTCTCGTAAGTTTAATAAGATTCCACTTTAGAAGAAACCAAACCATTGTTTCTCTACCTGATAAATGGGGCCACTAGATGAGGCTTTCTTTATTTATTTTTATTGTCTTCTTTTGAATTGGCATATATTTGTGAATGAATCCAGATTTATTTCTGTTTTGGATCACTGCTGATGAAAATTAAAAGGCTGGGTTTATCTTTTATTGAAATGTTGACCAGTGCCTCCCATTGCATCACTTAGAAGTGACTTCTGCATGTTTCAATAACATGAATGTTGATTTTTTCTGCCAATACATAATTTGCACAGTGCTGCTTTAGGGAAGAATTTACAAATGCTCAATCTTAACTGTCTGCTCCATGGTGGAGATGAAGCATCCAAGATCCAAGTATAGTGATTTTATTCAATAGAGTCCATTGTATTGCAGGGTGTATGTGACCCAGTAGAACAGGGACCCAAGAGCCACCCTGCTCAGGTTTGCATCCACTTCTACTTCTTACTAGCAGAGTAATCTTAGCAGGTTATCTAGCCCTCTTGCTGTCTCACTTTTCCCATTTCTAAAATGGAAAGAATTATAGTATTGACTTTCTAGAGTAGTTGCAAGGATTAAATAAGCTAGCATGCTAAAAATAGTACCTGGCTCACAGTGCTTAGCAAGTTTTGTTATTTTATCACTATTATTATCCTGTTGGCACTGCCTGAACTCATATAAATGGAAGGTTTATAAATCACTGTTTGAATGTAATTCTCTTCTATATGAAAAAGATTGGACACTGTAAAGACCTGAGTAGAAAATAATGGCAGGTATAACCTAAGAATTCAGAGTCAGTAGTTATGTGTGTAATATGTGAGTAAGCACAGTACCATTCTCATCATCTAAACTTTAAATTTTAAAGAATTACATATTGTCTATTGTATCTTTTTAAAAAGTGGTTCTTTTTAAAACCCAAGTAATATTTAGTAGTTCACACATATAGAAAATGGTAGAAATTATAGGGCAAATACAGAGCCTACTCACTAAAGCTTTTGGTGTTAACTGTATCTTTCTTATCTTTGATTTAGAACTCTTCAGGGATAACTACATTTGATAAGAGCAATGGCTTTAAAAGTACCACTAAACCAAGAGAAAACATTCTTCACCATTATGCTTTTACTAGGCTGTTTGGTAAGTAAACTTTCCTTTCTTAAGAATGTGGTAAAAGATTCATATAAGATCATTTTCTATTTCTCATCCCATACAATTTTCCTTTCTTTCAAATTGCATTTGATCATTTTTGCATTTGATTATCAAGTGAAAGAGTGCTGCTAAGCTGTGAAATTTTTAACAAGTATTGAAATTATTTTATTTAAACTTACATGAAGTCATAAAATTGCTATGTTATAAATCCTGGATTTATAGACACCTGTCTAACACATCCTAGACTCCAACAAGATCATAAATTCTGACTTGGAGTCTTTGACTTAGAGTTTATGAATACTTTAAAATGGATTTTTAAAGTTATTATTTTGATGTAGGTATATATATCCATCTTGGTCTCAAAAAGTGTTAAAAGCATGGGCTGGGGTTGTCGCTTAGCGGTAGACTGCTTACCTAGCACATGCGAGGGCCTGGGTTCAATCCTCAGCACCACATAAAAATAAATAAATAAAATAAAGTTTTTTTTAAAAAAAGTATTAAAGGCATATAGGAAATTTTAGTGTTTGAATGTGTGACAAAAGATCTATGAAGGTATTCAGTTTATTTAATGTTGAGATTTAACAAGGATGTACAAATATAGAGAGAATTATTTGCACTGAACACAGTACCTAAAATCTTGGAAGACAATTTAAGAGGAAATGAGATCAAATTGGAGTCTGGGATCTATGTAGATGTAAGGAAAACTTCCTTTCTGTTCCTTAAAGTTGTTAAACATTGCAGAAATGGCCTAGGAGGGAGGTTGTAGAATTTCTTTCTCAAAGAGATTACAGTCTCTGTATAAAAAGGGAAATTCCTACTCTTTAAGTAAAATCAGTCCACCAATATGGTAGTTAGGTGGAGTTAAAAGAGGTAGGACAAGATTATTAGACCTTTAACCCCCAAGAATTTTCTAGTCCCAACCCTTACCTTGCACTTTCCCTCCCACTGGACATGGAGATTCAGACTTTGACTTTATTTAAGGAGACTGGTAGATATCATTACAGATATTCCTACTTGGTAAGGGTGTTTTTAGAGAATGATTGCTTCTTATTGTAAGCATCAAAAACAATTTTCTGTGCACCTATGTGTGATAGGCATTAGACACAACAGTGTCTGTTCCCACAGTACTCCCTAAGGTTTTCATTTTCATTTAGGAAAACAAAACTGAATGTCTTGACCAATCCTGAGATGCTATTAATTCCAACACTTTTAATAAAATATTATCTGTTAAGAAGCAGGTAAGCACATTTTTGAAGGATGATAGAAATAAAGTGAACTTATTTTTTGGTAAAATAAGAGGAAAAAAGCTTATTTTGGAAAATGACCCACATCCTTTGTTTTTTGCCAAAGGGTGGTTATTTCATTTAAGACGTATTCTATGAACCAAGTATATTGCTAGGTCCCAGGAAATGACTTTGTATAATCAGTAAGGATGTAAGTTCATGTATAGGTAGCACTTTGGCTTTGAAGAATTCAGAGAGTTTGGCCACTCTTATCATCTACAACACCACAACTACCATCATGAAGCATTTTACTGGTCTCATGATTGCCAGATAATATTTTTTTACGATCTCTAAGTTAATGGAGTACAGCTGGAAAAGTTGAAAATTCTCCATCAAAACCAAATGGCAGCTATATCTCAAGGATAATTGCAAGTTCTTGTGGCTATATGCATATATTCCATCTACTTATTCAATTTATTATACTCAAGTATGTTTATATTTCTTGAAAATCAAAAAATTTGGTTATTTAATTCAGATTTTTTAGGTAGCAAAAGGACCTTAGGTCTCTGCAGAGCTGTTCTTTTATATGTCGTCTTAGAAAAAACATCATCCCTTAGATCAGTTTTATCCTGAGTCCTCAGAAGAATATTAGAGGAAGTAGTTAATTCCAAGAAAAGAGGATGCCATTCTCTAAAGAGTGAATGAATATTCTGTATTCTTTGGAGTACAGAAAGTAATTATTAGGTTTATTGATTTTACTTGTTCCACTGACTCACTCAGAAAGTGGTTTTTCTTTTTAAAGTGAAAATTAAATTGACCTCACTCTAAGTTGATATTTACTCTCAGCGATTATGTGACTAATGGTGAAGATATTATTCCTTTCTTGCAAACAATATAATGAAAGTACTCTAAGATAATGTTTGTGAAACATTTTATTCCCAGTCATGTAAAGTCATTTGCGAAACCGGAGACTGCAGACAACAGGAATTCCGGGACCGGTCTGGAAATTGCATTCTCTGCAAACAGTGTGGGCCAGGCATGGAGTTGTCTAAGGTACATTCTGGATATGTGGTAAAGTTGTATATCTGTGTTTGTAAAATGCATTCTTTTGAACTAAATTTTTTTAGTTAATTATTAGTGAAGCTTTGGATACTATTGACAGAATTCTTGTTTCATTGTGTCATTTAGTCATATATTATACAATTCCCATTTTAATACCTCTGATTCATGTGCCTTGCCAAGATAGATAGGATCTAAAAACTGAAATTCAACAAATGTTATTGGTTTACATAATTAAGTGTTTATAGTGTTTCATTGAAAGAATTACATTTTCAAGGTCTTTGGGGTTTAATTTTTTAAAAATCAATGTTCTTCTGAAAACTTAAAGCATTCATAACAGAAAATGGTGATGTTACCATTTACTGGGGCTTCTTTTTTTTAAACTGAATGTTACCATTGCTAGTCAGGAGACAGTCCAGCATTGGCCTAAATAAAGATGTACCAAGGTAGCAGTTCTTTTCCAAACTAGCATTTTGAACATTCCTTTAACAACTCAAGTATTATTAGTCTTACTACTCTGAGGGTATGTTACTTCCAGGAGTACTTTAAATATGTTCATTTAAACTGATATTTATTAAGAAATAGTGAGTAATATAGCAGGGCTTATTATATTTCACAGTCTTGCTTATTCAGAACTGTGCATTAATTTGCTTTATTTTTTGATCTTTGGAAGATGTTACTGGTGGTGAAGAATTGGTGTAATATTTTGTTCTAAGTGAAACATCAAACCCTTCCTGTTAGAAAGGGGACAATAGGTTTTTCTTTTTATTTAAAGTGACTTTTAAAGGAGAAGTTCTTTTCCTCTAGGACTACCATTATTTAAAGTTGAGTCTTGTCTTTCGTAGATTTTTGATCAATGACCTATAAACAGCAGGAAACAAAGAAACATGCATTCCACAAGTAGTTTGTGGTAGATGGCTTTTCTCTATAGTTGTTGTTGTTACATGAGCAGTGGCTTTCAGTGTCTTGAGCTTTTATATTTGGATTGAAACTGACTGACTTTCAAGCTCTCTGACGTCTAGTTAATTATAGCATCTCAATAGATATTTTTCAATCTCTACTGATTGTAGTAACTTGCATTTTGAGACATGGGTTTTACCAGGTTGGATGGGGAAAGATTCATTTGTAGCAGACCTACTTACCTAGGATCAGTGAACTGAGTAGTTTAAAATGCCATAGGGCCAAGAGGAAAATAATTGAGGATGTTTCTATCCCTGAAAAGGCCTTCTTTTCCTAAATCTCTGTGAAAGTCCAAATGAAACCTTCCAGAGTCTAAGAGATGAGTAAATTATTTCTAAGAAGTTGTTCTCTTCTCTTTATCCTTTGAATCTGGAGAATTAAAATCATTAGACCAGAAGATGATGATCCAATCAGCCCTGATTTTTTAAATGAAAAACAAAATCATTTTTCTAATTTATAAGTCCCACCTGTTAAGAGCTTGTATAAAAACTGAACAAGCTGAAAAATTAGTTCTTAAAAACAGTTCTTCTCAGATCTGTAAGAGAAGTAGGGTCATAGGAAAAACTACTGTCCCTAGTTGGACAGATACAGAGAATCACAGTACACTGCAACAGAAACCTCCTTGGGCACTCTAGATAGAGTACTAGAGCAGGAAAACCGGAACTTGAATTAACAAATTGCCAGAGCCTAGGTATAGAAAATTCCCAGAGTTCAAAACTCCAGAGGAAGCCAGTCACAGGGTGACCTACATGCTTTTGTTTTACCTCCAACATAATCAGACTCTCACAGTAAATATCAGAAAACTCACTTCATTCTTCCAGCAGGGAGAGAAGAAAAGGAACAATTCTGAAAACATACCAGAGCACTCTGTTCTTAAAAAGGACTGTCCTGGAGAGAAACCAGTTTACCAGAGAGTAACTTGCTCGGGTTTTACCAGAGCCTAACTGCCCTGGGGAAAAGGAAATACTCAACTCCAGCCCACTCTGTCCTTTGTGTCCCACGATAAGGTGGAGTGTGAGGAACTTGAAATACTTGTGAACTCTGCAGTCCAGGGGCACAGGCCCACCAAAAACTGAGGCCTAATCACAGAAATATAGAATGCTTCCCCTCCCCTCCTGCCTTATCTGCACATCACCTGAGCCCTATTTATAGCCATTCTTTTTACCCTGTACATCAGATACCGATTTTAACAAAAAACTACAAGGCAAAAAAGCACAATTTGAAGCAAGAGGGAAAGCATCAGAATCAAATGCAGCAGATTCAAAACAACTATGATTAATATGCCATAATGGATAAAATAGATATTATGCAAGCACAGATGGACAGTGTAAGCAGAGACAAGGACATCCTTAGAAAGAATAAAAAAAAATTTAAAAAGTTAGAGATCCAAGACTCTAACAGATATGAAGAAGACCTTTGATGGGCTTATAAGTAAACTGGTCATTGCTAACCAAAAAAAATCTCTGAGCTTGAAGATTTATCCATAGAAACCTCAAAAAATAAAAATTAAAAAATTGAAAAAAGAAAGAAAGAACAAAATATCCAAGAATTATATTACAGCTTCAAAAGGCATGGACATGCATAAGGAGAAAACCAGAAGGAGAGAAAGGACCAGAAGACATATTTAGAACAATATGACTTAGAATTTCTACAAATCAACATCAGACGCCAAACCACAGATCCAGGAAGGTCAGAGAACACGAAAAATAAACACCCCAAAAACCTGTACATGGGCATACCATTTTCAAACTATAGGAAAAACAAAAATTAAAGGAAAAGTCCTGAAGAAGCTAGAGGAACAAAGACCTTACCTACAGAGGAGCAGAGATGAGAGTGACATCTGACTTCTCAGAGAACATGCAAGCAGGAGGAAAGTAGAGGGAGCAGGAGGAGGAGAGGGGACTATTTGAAGTGTTGAGAGAAAATAACCACCAATCTATAGAATTCTGTACCCCATACAATTATCCTTTAAAAATGAAGAAGAAATAAAGACTGATCGAAGTGTAAAGATGAATCCACTGTTATAGATGGAGACTTCACCACCCCTCTGTTAGAAATGGACAGCTTCTACAGGCAGATTGTCACTTAAGGACATAGCTGAAGTTAGCAGCACCATCAGTCAACTGGATATAATTGACATCTACAGACAACTTCATCTGACACCAGCAAAATACACACACCTCTCGAGCTCACATGGAAATTTCATCAAGCTCTACTGCATTTTTATCATTAAATACTCCTTAACAAATTGAAAAGACTAGAAATCATATAATGCCTGTTCTTAGATCACAGCCGAATAAAACAGAAATATATAATAAAAAAATAATGTATGCTGCCAAGCCATGAGAAGACATGGAGAAACCTTAAGTACATAGTACTAAGTGAAATCTAAAAAGATCTGTGTGACTCTAAACTATAGGACATTCTAAAACAGGCCGAACTGTGGAGACAGTAAAAAGATCAGTGCTTTCCAGATACAAGGGGGAGGGATTTATAGCTCTCCCCCTTTATAGCTCTCCCCTACATTGGCAACTTTTTACAGATTACTTATTTGAACCTTTCACGAAACCTGGACATTTGGATTAGGTTCATCTGATATCATGAATAGGCAGAACACAGGATTTGGTGGGGGGGGGGCAGTAAAAATACTTTGTATTTGAACATTTGTTCAAACCCATAAGATGCACTTCACCTAGTCTGAACCCTAATGTGAGCTACAGATTTTAGGTGACTTCATGTCTTCATGGATAGTAACAAATATACCATTCTAGTGTAGGATGTTGATAATGAATGGGGCTATGTATGTGGGAGGAGGAGCAGGGCAGCAAATACATACAATGTCTCTGTGCCTTCCTCTTTCTGTGAACCTAAAGCTGCTCTAAAAAAAAAAAAAATGAAGTCTTAGGTGGGCACAGTAGTAGCATGTGCCTGTAATTCCAGCTCTTTAGGAGTCTGAGACAAGAGGATTGCGAGTTGGAGGCCAGCCTGGATAACTTAACGAGGCCCTATCTCAAAATAAAAAGAAACAAAGTTTTTATAGTATTTTTAGAAATCTATCTTCTAAGAACATCATAATGGTTTCTCTATTTCATATTTCCATGGATATCCAGAAGAAATATTTTTCCCTGGTTAGCAGCTTTCCTCAAATATTGAAACAGTGATTCAATCCTATTTCATTGGCATCGATGAAAAGGTGGCAGCCCTCATTCTGCTGGTACAACTCTGATTCATCACGTTAGTAATGTCTGCCTTGTGGGCGGCAACACAGATCACCCAGATTCTCATCCTCATTCTCATACTAAGAATGCCCAGCTCCTGACAGACACACGGTACTTTTTACCCTAGGAGTGAACGAATCAATCAACCTCAGGTTATTTTTCAGGGGGGAGGAGAGTAACACTTAAATCTGGTAATATAAAACTAATGAATTTGTGTATAGTATGAATAATGAGTTTTGCAAAGTCTTTAATCTTGATTTTTAGCTCACAGTAAATAAAATTAGTAATTGAACCTGGCTCATGCTCTAAGATGCAACATAGAAATAATATTAGCATTTTTATTTCTCAGTTAACTGATCAAGGCAGAGAGCTTGAGTTTTTGTAAGCAATTACTTAGGAATTAGAAAGCTCTACATAGTCCACTCATTAAATTGCTATCTTCTTTCCAAAGCACATTTAAGTCTTTAACAATAGCATATATCTTTCAGTCAAAAGGAAAGCTAGCAGTATATTAAAATCAGATAATCACTTAAATTAACAAATAAATCCTATGAGCTAAGTATCACTTCCAAGCTTTAGATATTGAGGGAAAATTTATTCTTTTGACTAGGACTAAGATATTTTTAGACAACTTTATATATAAAATATATATATATATATATATATATATATATATATATATATATATACACACACACACACACACACACACACACACATATATATATTTCTTAATTTGGAATGTTAACCATATAATTTGGAGGGATACCTTTTAATTTGTAATGAAGCAATGCGTCTGAGAGTCCTTGCATTTTT